GGGGTTGTACACCCCCCCCCGGTACAAGGAGGAAAACTCTTGGCATAATTCTCATTGTTGATAGCAGATTCTGCTGAGCTTTCTTCATTGGCTATGAATTTTTAGATTCTCAAATGATCAGATCCACACAGCCCATTATGAGTGCATAATCATAACCGCGGCCCATTAAATCCATAGCCCATTTCCATGTTTAAGTAGCCCAATTAGAAAAGCCTGTAATCTGTATAAAGTGTATAAAGAGGTAATCTTTATTAGAGATTCTTGAAAAATCTGAAAAAAGAGCAGAAATTTCATTGATTGGAACAACCAAACAAATGGTACCAGTTTTTCTGAACGTTTAAGAAAAGATACAAAAAGAGGTAGCTTTGGACAGAAGAAGCAGTGCTGTACAGTACCACAAAAGTAGAACCTTTAGTTTCCAAATGAAAGCCTTGTGCCCAAGATATGAGGGCCATCATCAACATCATAAGGCAAGTGAAAAAACATAATTATGCTAATTGAAAAGCATTGTTTCTTGAATAAGGCACCAGGATGAGGAGGGACCATGGATGGAAGAAACATCTCATCCAAAATTAACCAGACACACCTCACTGTTTTCTTTTGAAAAAATTTCAATAACAAGCACAGATTCTGTTCAGTCAATTCTCCTCTCCATTACGCTTTCCTCTTTTCACGTTTTCCCAAAAAAGCATGCGTTGATTAGTACAAACAGCTGATTTGATTTGATCCTTTTTTCCACCCTATCCTCAGACACTTTTGCCTCCTAAGTCTTCTTCTCCTGACCCACCCACATGTAGTGCCAAATCTCTAATCATTCGTACACATGCAAAGCAATCTAATCTTTTGTTATTTGATAATTTGAAGAGCGCCCGGCTCGACTGTAGAGGTCACAACCCGATTTATATTTCTATGCACATGTTTTTTAATAAAAAGATCGTTAACATTTGTTTCTTCTGCACTAGGCATTTGTAGTACCAACATATACACATGATAACAATAGAGTACAGTACTATTAGGAGTAGATTATGCAGAGTATCCAAACATTGATTAAACTCCCCACAAAAGAGAAGCAGGTAAAAAAGAAAAAACACAAACAGAATCCCAAAAAGAACAAAGAAACAGACAGTTCTCGTTCTTGATTCTACACTATTGATGTGGATTTTCGGACGAGATATCGATAAGCAGCAACTTTTCTTTTGCGAGAGGCAGTGTTATCGACAGAAAGAACCATTTTTCCAGCTTCTCTGGCAGTAAATGAGTTGTGAATTGCCTCCTCATTGGCCGCAATCCTTCTCTGTTTCTCCACAGCAATAGTGTAGCTGCCTTCGGCATTGGGAACAAATTCAGCACTGTATTCCAATTCCCAGCCACCCACTACTATGTCCCATGATATTGTTGCACCAGCCTGCATTGTTATCCATAAAAAAACAATTTGGTTTACTTTAAACAATCATCTAATGTAGTTGATGAAACCTAAAGCTTGTCTAAAATCTTAAAACTATTCGAAATATGAAGAATCTATCTATTCGATATCTTCAAGAGAATCTATGATATTTTGTACTAGATTATTACCTCAATACCCTCGATTTGGATGTTGACTTTCTCTCCTCCTTTGACAGTGAACTCGGATGCTGGTTTTGGTGGACTATTAAGGACATCACTGGGTCGACTCAATCCACCATATTGAACAGGGACATCCTCTGGCCTAATAAACCTGATCAAAAGATATAATTCAATTCAATAAAATCAACAGAGAGTCGTAAACTCAAACAAGAAAATCCCACGTAAAACCTATAATGCTTGGTTTTAATCTTGTCCCTTGTTGTCCAGTCTACTCGAAAAACATAAAATGCTTCTCTAGTGACAATGGTATGCAACAATACAAAAATTGGCACATTATTTTGTTCAATGTATGGAAAACACAGGTGCATAACAAAAAAGAAACAGCATTAAAGATCACATAAGATAATTTAGAACATGTCATTATCTGCGCACAGGGAAGAAAAGGAAAAGGAAAATTAAATTAATGCTTGATATAATTTAAACAAGATAAATGCAGAATAGTTTAAAATACTCACTTGTAAAGTGTCTCAGCAACATTTCCTTCCTTGGATACCANTAGCAAATAAATGACAAACAGAAGAAGGAGATCTTCCCGGCGGACAGCATCAGAGTCTTCTTCTTCTTCAAGCTCCCGGCGGACCCAGCACGGGCGGCCGCGGGGGCTGGCCAGGTGCTGGGTCCGCCCCTGATTTGCATAACAATGTTTAGGTGTCATCTGTACATTTCGTTTGTCATGTCATCAATTCTCGATTTCGTTAGAGCTGTGAAACGAACGACAGTAGTAAGTAATGTCTAATATTTTGTACTAGATTATTACCTCAATACCCTCAATTTGGATGTTGACTTTCTCTCCTCCTTTGACAGTGAACTCGGATGCTGGTTTTGGTGGACTATTATGGACATCACTGGGTAGACAGTAGACTCAGTCCACTATATTGAACAGGGACATTCTCTAGCCTAATAAACCTGATCAAAAGATATAATTCAATTCAATACAATCAACAGAGAAAATCCCACATAAAACCTATAATGCTTGGTTTTAATCTCGTCCCTACTCCTTTGTTGTCCAGATAATTTAGAACATGTCATCATCTGCACACAGGGAAGAAAAAGGAAAAGGAAAAGGAAAATTAAAATAATGCTTGATATAATTTGAACAAGATAAATGCAGAATAGTTTTAAGATACTCACAGTCACTTGTAAAGTGTCTCTGCAACATTTCCTTCCTTGGATACCACAAATTTGCTCTTTGTTCTTTGAGTGAGAAATGGACTAAACATTGAGTACAGCAGACTAAAGTACCACGGCACATTGATAAAGATCTACACAAACAAAATCCACAAAATCAAACCATGGCATTCAAGAACATAAAAATCCACAAAAATCCCCAAAAATCCTCTCATACATTTCTCTGTCTTTGAAAACTCCATAATCATTGTAGCAAACTGGATGTCTCTCTCTGTCATAAGCGTGCATATAAGCCACAACACCTTCAAGCTCCTTAAACCCCAAATCTTTTTCCACAATGCCATCAGCCTCAAAATCTTTTCTCCAAGAAAGACACTTTTGCAACATATTAAGCGAATCTTGAACTCTAAAATCCCTTGCACGAAGGAATTTCAAGAGAATAACATCAGCCCTTTCGTCACCTCCCAAAAGTGGAATGCCCCACATAGAATCAAGCCCATTTGAGGGAGCCATGAGTTTATCCTTAAGCTCCTGGAGAGCCTTCTTTTCAGATGCTTTGAGGTGGGAAATGAAGTACGTATCTTCTTTAAAAGAAGGGGTTCTCAGTGTGGCTGCTTCCATTAAAGAAGTAACAAATTTTTTCTTCGAAGGTGATGGCTTTGGGGAAAACTCTGGAGTCTGATCTTGAAGATTAAGACTTTGTTGCACAGAAATAGGCGATGTGGCTTCCATTTCTTGAGATTACAATGAAAGCCCAAATGAAAATCTTTGTTTAAAAAATGCAGTTTGGTAGTGTGAACAAGAACTGGAGAAAGTGATCCAGGAAAAAGCAGAGAGGAAAAGGATGAAAATGGTTGGATGTATAAATTATTGGTGTCGAGGTGACATGATTGAGCAGGCAGGGCGGGTGCAGTTTGAAGATTTTGAACGTGAAATGTGAACTTTGAAAAGCAGCTTTAAACAGCTTCATTCCTGAACCCTGTTCTGGAGCCTGTGTTGGGAATCGCAGCCGTGCACACCTCACCCCCACTCCTTTTTGTTTTATTTTCTTGAATAATGTTAAGTGTACACAATCTTTTACATAATTTTTTACACCCACCTCACATGGAGGGGGCCCACACATAATAAAATAATCGTGGACCCCCTCTATATGAGAGAGGTGTAAAAAATTGTGTAAAAGTGTGTGTACATGTAGCATTACCCTATTTTCTTTTACCTGGTTTTTCTAGAGAACTGTGTATTTTTCTTTTGTTTCACTGTTTGGGTTTGCTAGTTTTCTCGAATTTTTTTATTTTTCTTTTTTCGCCTGAAAAAGCAAAACTAATTTTAAAGCAAAGATGAGTTGGATTGAAGTAAATGTATTTGGGAAATTATCTAATCAACTCGCTCAATTTCTTTCTTTCTTTCTTTCTTTTTCTTTTTTTTTTTTATATTTCTCATCTTTAAGAAATGTCGAGTCGGTCCAGCATAAAATTGATATGAATTTTTCCTTCTCGTTCCTACAATTACCCTCTTTACCTTCACTTTATATTTTCGATTGGCTAGTCAGTTATTTTACAAGCTATTATAGCTCAATTTTGATTACAGGAGACTACCCTATATCAGTTTATACTAGAGTTCGAGATCCTCATATCCGAATCGATGTTAGA